TCCTGAAGCATTTCTCTCTTGTATAAAATATCCCACGTGCACTGATCTGAAGTCTTGAAATGTCTTCTGGCAGCACCAAGTCTGTCTACTCAGGTCATTTATCATAAATTATGGCCAAAATTAATATTGATATTGCAGACAGAGATCATGATATGCAAATCAAGGGGTTTTTTTGGGGGGAAAAAAAGCAATGTTTTGAAATACATAAACATTTGAATCCTAAAGAATAAACGTGTGAAAATATAATGGAAAAGGGAAGGATTAGGCAGCAAGCTTTGGTGAATATTTCCCTGCAGTTGCTGTTAAAAGTCTCTGATGCGTGGGCAGGCATCTCCAGTAAACAAGCTGTCAAGCAGGCTTCAATCAGCTCCATAAGGAGAAGAGGATTGCTGGATAGAGCTAGCTACAAATGCTATCTTTGAGCATTTATATGCTTTGCTGTGTTAACTCTCAGCCAGACTGGAATTTTCCAAAGCAATCAACTGTGTGCTTGATTTCAGGTGTCTCTATAAGATGTTTCAAAACTAAATTTCCCCCCAATCTCTTAAAACGAAGCTTCAGGAAAACAAAACAGGATGTTTTTGAGGACTCAAGCCAGATATTGAAAGGACAGGCATGTAGAATGACCAAACAACTTTTAAACCCTCAGCTGAAATCCTCCTTTAGACTGTGACATACAGACTTACTGCTTCTAGCTAGGGAAAAATGCAAAGAAAACCATGGAATATTGTCTAGGAAGCGTACTGTAGAAGACCAGTAAATCAGGTGTTCTATCACCGCTTTAGTGTCAATTAGAGCATTCGTGCTGATCAGTTTGATAGTTTCATCTCCATACAAAACCCATACTATGCCGTCTCATATGTAAACTGTCCTGAAGCAATCAGGCAGCACAGTTAAAAGGGAGGTGTCCCTCATCACAGGTTATTGCCTTTCAAACATTAACAACCAACCACATGTAAATTTATGTCAAATATTCATACAGAAGAACTAGACTCCTTACAGCCTTAACAAACAAAACAAGAAAAACAGAAGGACATTTATCTTAAACTGTTAGGACTAGTGCAAATCATTAAGTATATGTTACTGTAATTTCTGAACTCTCCACTTCCCTCTCACCCAGCCCCTTATTTACCTTGAATCCCCAAAGGACTAATATTGCCTCTCAATGCTGGCACATGATGGTACCGGTGTGGCCTTGAACTCCTGTACATCCAGTGGTACCTGCCAATTTCCATTTCTGGTCTGGTGATCACTGCCAATTTTAGGTGGTAAAAAGTCAGTGTCACCAGCAAGTTTCAGTTCAGCACTTTCAGTCATTTAATTTTAACAGTAAGAGCCCAGAAAAACACGCTGTAGTCTCAGAACTGAAACTACATAACTTTACCAAAGTAAGAGAGAGGTTGGGAGGGACAATGACAGGGAGACAGTTACACAGGTGTTAAGAGCAGTTGAAGAGCTACAATTCTACCTAGGATTTGGATTAAACATGTAAAAAAGGACCCTATTCCTTCCCCCCACCCGCTCTCACATCTCCCTCTCTTTGTCCATGGCAAAGAGCTCTGCTCCAGAAGTAAAGGAAGACCAAGTTCTGGAAAACCATGTTACCTTTTGGGTTTTTTTAAAATACCTTAAATCGGCCAATGGAAATTGTTGTTATAATATGCAGAGGTGGGGCAAATGTATGAGTTTCTGCCATTACTTTCTTACATTAGTAAAAAGTCATGGGCTTAATTTCATCCAGGTTCTCCTCACATTTTTTTTTAAAACAGGCTTATTCCCAGTTTACAATGAAGGAGAGCAGTTCTCCTCCTCATCTTTTCAGGGGACAGATGAAGTTTAGCAACAAGACCCCACACACAGTAACACAGCTGACCCGCTCACATACTCATCAGCTCAGGGCTTCCGAGCTCCCTGAAAGAGGCCACTGGCAAAACAACATCAAAGCCACTTTCAAACCAACATGTCCCCCCCTTGACACCACTATGGCTTTGTCATGGGCGCCAGGGAGAGACAGACAAATCTTTATATAAAATGTACCACAGTCCCACCCGGAGGGCGCTAAAAGAAAAAATAACCATCACCTCCAGCTAAAATAAACCCAACTTAAACAGCATTTCAGCAGGTGCGGGAAGTGAAGATTCTGAAGCTGAAAACCCATCTATCATAGACTAGAACAGAGGCAAATTTAGGGGGTCAGTGGGAGTAGAAATGCCATGAAATTTCTGGCCTGTGAGGGGCTAGGAAGGTCCTTGACCTGGTGCTTCTCTCACATGGTTTTTCTGCTGCTGCGGCAACGACAAGTTTGGCACAGCTATATTTGCATATGTCAAGAAGACAAAAAAAATCTTAGCCTTGAATCCAAATGTTGGATCTAGAGGCGAAACAAGAATCTGTTCATCTCCTAGGGAATGAACTCCAATATTCAAACAGTCTTTTCGGTTTGGGATGCAAACTTAACATAGCTCTCTAAAGGACACTGTGTAGCTGGGCATTTCTCCCTTCTCTGCAACTCAAGCACAAACCAATAAGCAGGTATCAAGTAATATATTTTTCCTAAAAGACATTTTTCCACTTGCTACAGCTTATCCTTCCTTTTAGGAAAGGCAAAATCTACATCTTAAGAACATAACCACATACAAAATGTGTTGAAGGCATTGTTCCAAAGTGACAGTGCATGCCCAGGATGATATAATCTCCTTCTGCTTACACAGGAACAACCATGTTCATGAGATAATAAGGAACACTATAATCATGGAATTAGACACAAAATAACATAATTATTTGCTAGCATTGCATACTGACTCCCCCCTCCCTTCCAACTGTCTACTACCTCCTTCTTTGAAAGGAGGTACTGGGCATCAGTAACAGATTCAGGTTTAAAAATAAGTAAATTAAAAACAACTAGCAACAAAGACTTCCAGGAACAAAACAAAATTATTCATTTGCATTGCATCAGCATCTAGACTAAACCTTTGACAGCAAAAGGATTTTATCCTAACAGGCCTGAACGCACAACTCCAGAATTCTCCTGCAGCAGCGACAAAATCCCCTGGCTCAGAGCCGCAGAGCAGGCAGCTGGCTTTCTCCCCTAGCCTGAGGCGATGATGGTGGTGGTGGTGGTGAAGTCACTACTGTCTGCTGTGGGGCAAACATCAAACCCTGAAATGTGGAGATGGCATGAAAACTTGGTAGCATCATTTTTGTAATGGAAAAATATTCTATGAAACTGGGCTTTTTAAATTAGTAATTTCTGGTTTTGAAGTAACCTCCCTTTGAAGTAATTTTCCCTTTATTAGGAGATGGTTCAAACTCCATAAGGAATCTCAGTTTATCCACTGCTCTTCAGTATGTTTGGTAGCCTTTACTTGCATGTCTGGCACAACCTCTGAAGTTGAAGAGTGTATTTTGGTGACTTCACTGGGACCCACCCAGTCAAAATAACTCCCAGGTCAAAAGCCCCACGGGTTTCAGTGGCATAACAAATACTGCAGGTGGTCTGTATGGATTAGAGTTTAATGGTGTACCCTGAATAATTAGGAACTGAAACATGTCGAAGTTACTTCTTTACCTTCTGCTTTTTCAGGAGCTAAGGACACAAATTGCATTCCCAGGACTAGGTTACAAGACTGTGTGCACAGCCAAGCTCACACAGCTCGAGGCCTCCTGTCCGAGCCAGGTTCTGCTTGATCCTGCACAGACGCAGCAGCTACAGGACTGAAAATGTCGTTGTGTCACACAGCACAGGCACACTGATGGTGACTGTGGTGTTCAATATTCATTTGTGATGAATCATCTTACACTCCTGTTAAAAAAACTTCCAGTGCCCAACATCCTCATGCTTGCTGCCTTAAGCATATGGTTCTGGAGGAAACAAAGTTATGACATTCATCTGTCGTGGCTGATGAAGCAGTTTGCAGGAGCAAAGAGAGGGTTGTCATTTGGCCATTTATGATCTGGTGAGCTGCTGACAAACACTGCATTAGGAGCAAGGCTGGCCAGAAAATGGGGAAAGGTCAGAGGGCTCCCTCACCCCTCTTCTCTCCCCTCTTTAGCCTCTTTGCTTCCACTGCAGAGTCCATTGCGCACGTACAGCGCCATCTGGATTTCTCCACCCCTGTTTCCATATTCTGTGGCACATATGTCTAGCCTTTCTGTTTTCACGAGGTCACTCAGACCAGTATGAATATGTTGTCCAAGTGTTTTTCAACCCTCTCCTATTTAGAAACCAAATCCTTTTCATTAAAACCTAAATCACTAAGCCTGCCAAATTATTATCCCCAGAATTTCGTGTGGCCCAGATTCCCTCTGGGCTGGACCTCTCTTCCTATGGCCATGTTCTTCAGAGACTTACACTTAAACCAGTTACTGTTTTCAGAGGATTTCAAATACCAATAAACTGCTTGAAATGGGAAAAAATATGCAGGATATGAAAAAATCTTTAAATGTCTTGACAGCTGCGAAATCACTGTATGAACCTAACATTAGAGGGGTATGTTTGAAAATTTTGGCTAATAACTATAACATGTATACAAAAAAGGCAATTTTTTCAATTTACTGTAACAAAAAATACATATATCTGTGATGCACCAAAATGTCATAAGCTCACTGTATAAAAAGAACTTTGCTAAATGTGAAATAAACCTCACATTAATTCACTCCTTTCTCATGTCACACTTTATCAGCCTCATTTACAGTACTGCAGTTGTACAGCTGTGTTTAAGATAAGTATTTTCTGGTTTTGACTAGCACATATTTGTCTATTTAAAGTCAGAAGCATTGCTTCATACACCATGAAAATAACAATCAAAGCTCAAAGCCATTCCTAAGCACGAGGTCTTCTTTCATCGAGAGCATGTTAGTAGGGAAGAGCCAATTAAAAGAAGCCTTGGATACAGCTGCTCAGGCTGGTTTTCATTATTCCTCAGCACAGCACATGCAATTTGAACACTGTATGCATTCATACAAGGAAACTACATCCTACCATAATGGCTTTCTTCCATCCTCCCATGTGTAATTGGTAAATTCACCATGGTCATCCACAGTTGGGTTTTGTTTTGTTTTGTCTGAATTTTGCAACTTGGCAGTATAGAATCATAGCTAAATGAAAAAGGAAACTTCTTGTCTCTGTTAATGTGCATCAGAATCTACATCCTTCACTGCTGATGTAAAACGGCGTTTCATTTTTCTTACTTATTCCACCTCAGTAAATCTGCTTGCCCAGTCCTCACGTTTTGATTTAATTTAATGCCTGCAAGATAAATCCTGTCATTTGTAATAATTTGTAAACCTTCATCTTTAAAATGCATCCAATCTGTTCAGCAACCCTGTAAAGTATCTGTTAAACATTTTGCTTCAGCTTGCTCATGGTGTTCTCTGATAAGGGCTGCTGATACACAGCATAAAGCTGACTTACTTCTTATCTCCATCAACATGGGTGTTGTTCCATTTCCAATTAAAAAAAACTGGGGCAGCAGCCACTCATCTGGGTGCAGGGAAACAAATGTCTGATAAACACTGAATCCATCAGCTGGGTAATACCACTGCCTGAATCCAGTAGGGGATTCATGGAAATAATTATTAAAATATTAAACTGGACTTCATATACAATTTAGCAAACTTTAAAAATCTAAATGTGATAAATAAATTTAATTTATCAATCACTAAGTATTCACAAAGCGCATTAGCTTGTGTAAATTGTTTCAAGTATGCTGCAATGAAAAATAGCTGGCCAGACACATTTGCCATTGGGATAGGAAACACAAACTGGTCCCTGTGTGGCACCACCATTCATATCTGACTGTATTGGGTGCTCGAATGGAAAACAGATCTTGCTGCTCATCCCAAGTGCTGGGGCAGAACTGCCCTTCAACAGTCCACTTACAAGGACAGGGAGCCCTGGATATAGATAGCATGGAGTCCTGCCCCAACTTCCTCCAAGTATTTATTCTATATGATTACAGTACATCACAGAATCCAGAAACATGTAGTTTAAAAGTCTGATAAACTAAAAAAAAAAAAATACTTCTAGCTTAGAAGTTCAATTGGTCATAGTTCAATGCAGATAGTTGCCCCAGAAATTGGCAGTGTAAAGCATACTCTATGTCAACCTGAATATCCAAAGTAAAATGCTCAGGATCTTCTCTTGCTCAGCATTGCCAGTAACAACACACCCTAAACCCCCTCAGATGCTGGTTTATCTCCTTGGACTTTGCAATTCATTTCTAGAAGGAAAAGTCAAAAGACTGATATCACTTCAGTTGCTTCAAGCAGTGGTGGTTGCCTTGCTATCACTGAGTCTAGGACATCTCACAAAAGATGGGCACTGCACTAGGACCAGGTGGGATCTCAGAGAAAAGAAGCAAGTGCTGCAAGCCCGGCAAGCACAGAAGGCACAGACAGCAGGAGATACAGTCTGGACAATAAACAGACACATTTTTGTAGTGGTCAGCTTCCATTTTACACCCCAAAACAAAGCGGCAGTATTTCCTTGTAAGTTTCTTCACAGAGAAAAAGCTCATTTTTCTCCACGAGACCTGCTGGTGAAAGAGCTCGTTTGAAAAATCCTGCTATTTCAGAGGTACCTGATGCCTGCTGAGCCCATATAAAAATCTGACTGGGCTTGGTGGTCTTAGCACCTTGGTAAAAACCTTCCCCCCCCAAACCGAGTATGTCTTCTATATCACCACTTCATGGCAGTAAATTTGCAGGAGGATGAGTTGTTTTGCTATTGAAAGTAGGACTCTTTGACTTTTCTGCATTTTAATTCACTGTGAAACATATTGGCAATTTAAGTGAATGGAAATAAAGACCATAATGTGAGAGACCATGTGTTACTTTCAGAAATTAGGGAACTGGCAAGAACAAAGCCTTGAAGTGTTACATACACATACCTATCTAACAGATCTGAAGTGTAATATTATCACAGAAAAACTAGGAAATTATGGTAAAATTAAGATAGGAACTTCCCCCGCTTGCATCCTATGAAAACAACAGATCAACCACCTTGACTTGGTAACAGATTTACTATTCTACATGTTCTGCTCTCATCCTTCCCAAAATAAAAAGGAAACCATGAACTCATCATAGACACACTCAGCAACACATTTCATTTTGAACAGCTGCTAATGCATACGGATAACTTTGGTGTTTATTGTACATGAGTTCTACCAGTTTAAAAGAAACTCATCAATCAGAAGGAAAAATTGTCATTTTGGAAGAATGATCTATGAGTTCAAGATGGTTTTATAGCCAAGGTATTTAGGACGTTTTGTATATTAATTACTCAAAATCTGCAGTGAGGTGGGTTATTGTCCATACACACTAATGGCTTTCAGAGTTTAATCTCTCATCAGTGGACCTCCTTTTGTGAAATCCCTAAGGGATTATGTATTACTATGTCTAATCACTTGACAAATTTCATTTACTTGAAACTGAAGCTAGGTTTGAATTCTACAAAGTGTGTAGGAGGAATCAGATTCAAAGTAGAAAAACAATCTGGTACTGGACAGTACTGGGATTTATCCCTATGTTAATATCTAACCTCTTTAACAATAAATGAAACAGCTCTACCTAGGTAAATGTGTATCAAGCTGCTTATGCCTATGAGATACTCAGCTTATAAATGACACACAACAGGTTCAAAGGCAGTGGAAATTTTAATATATTTGTTAATGCTGTATCATTTAGGAGAAAGATATTTCTACGATTTGTACAGTAGTCTGCTACACTGAATTATATCGTGCAGAAACAAAACAGTCTTTTGCTAGCTGAATTTACCCTCTAAAGTTCAGCACTCCAGACCAAATAAATCACCTGCACAGCTGGGATAGATAAAGCACCTCTCTTCCTGCACTGCCATCACCCTACCACAGAACGACTACCATGGAATTGTTCTCTCCATTAAGCAGCAATTCTTGGTCATTAACACATCCTGAAACCTAATGTTGCAAAACTCATTGCATTATTCCCCATTATAGCACAGGCAGATCTCTACATAAGCAAAATTTGCTGGACGACACGATGGAAAATGAATTTAAAATTGAAAGTATCATTTGGTACCAATTAAACTACACAAAGGTTGTGTGATATTATAATCTGTTACATGTTATTATAACCTAGGTCTCCCCATGCTGCATTTGCAAAGCCTTGCTACAAGGCTAGTCTTCATGGAAACACCAGACTATGGCTCTGAAAACAACATGCAAACACACAGGCACACGCTACCTCTCTAAACCGAATTTACCAAAATCCATCAAAGATGCAGCAAAAACAAGACCTCTTTCACAAATATAATTTCTGGTAGGGTTAGGACAGATTCAGAGCAAATACAGACACAGACAGAAAGATTGCTGCTCTATTAATTTGTCGTCAAGCCATGCAGGAAAGGACGGCTGAAACCCCAAAGATGCAGTAATGATTGTTTAAGAGCTATTCGAAAAAGTGACAAAACTGGCCTAAACCTCTTTAAGCCCCCTGAATGAAAAGATTTAAACAGGCTATTGTTAGACCCCTGGGTACCTTTTTTCTCTTGGCTTTGTTCTGCATTTTCCTCCGCTGCAGTTTCCATGGCTGGCTTCATACCATCCACCAAAAATGCCGCCCCCCCCCCTCCCCCCCCACCAAGCACTTTTTTCTCTTCGCCTCCTTTCTCACTCCCTTCCGTCTCCTATTTACGGCGGTGGTGATTGAGCGGCTCTGTTCTCCCCTACAGTAGATTACAGTCCTTTCCAAAACGCCAGAAAAGTCTTGTCAGCTTCAATTTCGCTCCGCTGACTGGTCCATGAGGAGCTGTGCCAGCCAGCGCTCAGCCATACGTCACCGCGGTCCCCAGCTATAAAATAGCCATCCTGCGCCCCACCGGGCCCTGCTGCGCTGTGGGGACCAGCCTCACCAGCTCACACCACCTTCCCCCCTCAGCCCTCCACTCTCTCTCCTTCTTTCTCCTGTCTCCCAAGGCTCCCGGAGAATGCTAATCTATTCTCCCGGCGGTGAATGGATTGGTGACATCGGGAGGGAAGATGCAGGCGAGAAAGAAAGAGGTCCCCTGGCCGCCATGGGGTAAGCCCCCTGGCCACCGTCTCCAAGGGGAGTGCACACCAGCACACAATCACCAAGGCTCCCTTTCCCATGGGACCTCGTTATTATGCTTCACGTTTTGATTTATTCCACATGCCCTCTGCTTCTTCAGGGGGCGGGGGGTGATGGGTCTGTTCTCTCTGTTTGCTTTCTTTGCCGAGTAAGTTCCGCTCACCCACGGCAAAAGACTGTGTGAGAGAAGCATAAAAGCAAAAGTGGACATATAAATATCACACACACACGGAAAACTTAAAATTCTTCCTTTGACTACCAAGCACAATGGAAAAAAACACCAAAAAATCCAAGGAAGCAGAAAGGCAGCAAGCTCAAGCCACCTTAAATGCACGTGCAACACTTTAAAGGATAAAATGTTTAAGAAAATAGCTTGGGTTTTTAAAAGATTGTCTGCCATTAGAGACCTAAAGCCATTCTTAGAAGTGAGTGTAGAGATGCTGTTAAGCACATTTGGTCTAATCAAGACAGACTGTAGCATGATCTAACAAGCTGTACTAACCTGGCTCTGAGAGCAACAAAACCAGGACACATCTACATCACCACACTGTTGCGAGGTGACTTCAGGTGTCCGCAGCCTGCACTGAGCAGCTCCATGCTGGGGAGCCACAGACCAGGTGACACCATGTGTGGATATTATTCACCTTCCAAACCCCAAGATAACTGACATGTTTAAGGCTGTACTGTAGTGAGTCTAATTTACCTTGCCTATCACTTTGCTTGTTTCAATGGCCTCACAATGTGTCATATTGCACAGGTCAGACATGCCCAAAGGCACCTCTTTTTGTGTGTAGGATGACAGAGCAACCATGGAGTAATGGGCTGTGGTCTGGCTGGCTTCTCTGGTCCAGCTGCTGCACTTGATTCTGCAGGATGCAGAGACGCCTAGCAGATTCAGCAAATGCTGGGGATGTTTAAGCCTCCACACTGCATATTCCATATAACAGATTCAATCAGGAAAGTGGGAAGAGGGAAGAAGTCCAAAGATTTGTAGCTGCAATTCAGCCTCTTCTGGTTGAAGCTACTACACCCACAATTTTGTTGTGCATTTTTGTTTCTGTAGATGCCTACTGAAAAGCACAAAAACCCCTCAGACCCAACCTTTCCAAGTTCATTTGTCTTATATGAAATCATAGCACAAATCCTCTTCTCTCACCATGGTTGGTACTTTATTTTGGGCATTCTTGCTCAGACACATGCTGCAGCCCTGCTGCCAAGAGGTCTTAGACTTATCCTAAGGTTTCATATCATAGCATCAAAACATCAGAAAATGTCCAGCATTTGCCTCAAAAGTTTTTTTGGAGTCCAAGAAAAGTCTGCAGATGAAGCAACCAGCTCAGCAAACCTTTCTGTAAGCAGAATGAAACTTATTTGTAGAAGAGATGAAGTTATCCTCAGGAAGCAACCCAAGGCAATGGGCTGGGTTCCTGAAAGGAATCAAATCAGCAGCCTCGGCAGAGACCTTAACCCAGAGGCAAGGTGTATTTCTCCAACCTCCTTCTCCAATGCCCACACAGCAGTCCATACACATGTTGAAATCCCTGCTCAGCAAGACCATGTACTGCAAATGCACTCCTGCACAGAAGCAGCTGAAAGGTGAAACCATAGGTGACATGTTTGCTGTGTTCTTCGAACCATTACTAAAAGTCAAGAAAGAACTTCTTCAGATTTGGAATAATGATTATGCAAAGAAAAAGTTCTAAGAAGAGCGGGGGTTTTTCCCCCCATTTAACATCAGTAGGATAGAAAATCCACAGCAAACACACATTGCTTGCTCGAAGTCACACAAATTTTAGTCACTGGTCGAATCAGTTGATTGCCTCTGACATTAAAATTCCCTCTTGGAACTTATTATTGTTCAGTTGGCACTTCTGCATGCTACTGTCATAGTCAAGATCTCAATTTCTTAATGATCTTCACTTTCTTTGGAATCTGTAAAAGTTTAAAAGATTGAAAACTTTCTTCTGACTACCCCAAGTTACAACAGGCCTGTTCAGAAACTAATTTGGGTGGTATAATACTAATGGACTTATCAGTATAAATACACAGAAAATACGAACATCATCTGGAATTTCCTTTCTTTAAACAAAAAAATACATTAGACAGAACTTCTGGTTGACACTGTCCCTGGAAGAAATCCATTAGTGAAGCCCTCCATTCTGCATCAGTGAGAGGCTCCTTCAAACAGTTGCATGCTTTTCCTGCTGGCAAGCAGATTTTGCTAGGCAGGCTCGGGTCTTCATAGCAGATGTTTTACAAACACAAAACTAATAGACTAGTAGACTATTTTTCCTATTTTCTCCCAGCATAACCCCTTCCTCAAATGAGCAAAGAAGAAGTCAGTGCACAGTACCAGAACTGACTTCAAAGGAGCTTGGACTGAAGACTTCAGAAGCTGTCAGTCCCAAGCATTAATTCTACCTACTAAATCATCCTCTAAAAGCTTCAAGTGATGCATGAGCGTAAAGTTTTCTCCCCTCCTTTCTTACTACTTTCCAGATTGCTGTAATATATGTTGGGTTTTAAGCACTTATCATCTGAAGTAATTCAATAATCTTCAAACGTCTGTCCCATCACTGATAAACACAGCAGACAAAACAAACTACATATTTCCTCCACTGCTTACATGGGTGCTGATCATGCACTTTGAGCATTAATCTCAGCCAGCAACTTGTCTCATGCAATGCTCCCTCCTTAATTATATATACCCTTTTCATAGTACGTGATGAGACGAGGAGACATCAAGTCCATGCCTATGACAACATGGCAAAAGACAAAGCCACAAAGGCAGAAATTAAGAAGAAATGCTTTAAAGATATTAATCAAAAACCTTCTGTACAGACCAGGCTGATTTAGACTATCAGCAACCAGGGTAGGTGGCTAGTTATATTTCAGGAGTTCAGCCCAGCAAAATAAAAAATGAAAAGGAGATGATAGGCCAAGCTGTAAGGGTATCTGCTGCCAAAGCACAGCTCTAAGCTCACAGCCAAACCTCACGAAGAACTGCAGTGGAGCAGCAGACTGTCTGACATTCACTGCAAAACAGTTTTTGAAAAAGAAGTTTTAATCTATTTTATCTAGCTTAAAACAAAAACAGTTGATCATTTTTCTTAGTCAAGCAAAAATTTGCTCTCAAGTTTAAAAAAAAAGGTATTAAACCCCCAATTCTGTTCATGTGCCAATTCCTTTTGAATAGCTATCTTTAATGTCACTGAATCTAGTTTACATTCCTAAAGGCTGAGGAGCTCTGTCATAAGTTACAGAAAATTCTTCACAAGCTTCCAGATGAATACACACTTGCCATCTCTACAGAGGCTTCATAAACCTGTAATAAAGACTGATCTCACATACTTAAAAGAGCAACTGGAGATTAGCTTATAATATCTGAGACTCAGAAGTTAAAATTCAGAGACTGCCCCTCAAACAAGTCTGAAATGTATTCCAAATAACTGATTTTAAAGACAAGTCATAAGATAAATCTTTAATTTTTTTAATTTTTTTTTAGGAAATATGCAAAAATATTCAACAGAAAGCACAAATACACATGCAGCTACTTTGTATGTCTCTCAACATAACTGCTTATGTTCAGTCCAGCTTTAGACCAGTTACCCAAGACTGGAGTATAAAAGCTACTCCAAACACTTATGCAAAAGGAGGCAAATTTTCCATGTGGATAAAGTTGAAGCATATCAACAAGCTGTTAGTTGTGCAACAGTCACATACCTGGCAAGTTCTTTTGAAAAAAAAATAATAAAAAATGAGGACCATTCTTTCAGACATACTAAACTACTAGGAAAATTATATCAAAATTAATGAACAAATAACAGTAGAAAAAAATCCGCATTTTTACCACAGTATAAAATACAGATGACTAAAGAACATGAGTCTTCACTGCATGCACTTAGGGATCTCAAACTTGGATTTCTGTAGAACGGGCCAAACTAAAGGCTTAACCATGATAGTGGTTAAGTCTGCAAACAAAGAAAAATCACTGACTTCACTGATGCAGGTAAGCTGGGAAGGGTGAGCAGACCTTAATAGTGAGAAGTTGCCAATCCTGTAACCCCCTTAACAGAGCCACATAAAGATGGCAATAACTGCTGCCAAGCTAAGCACCTGGCAGCAAGCAGGCAGGCAAAGCAGATGCTGTTCAGTTGTTTGGTTTAATACATTTCTCTGGCTGGCCTGCTAGCTTCCAGCTTTAGCCTGTTGCAGTCACAGCCACTGGAGAGAATCAAAGGCAATAAAAAACCTAAATTCAGAACATACATGGATGGCTAACTGGCTAATGTTTATTTGGAACATGAAATTGGGGGGGAAGGTTGGGGGAAATCCCTTCAAGAGTGAATAACTGCTTCTGTACAGCTTTTCCAGTAGCTAAGTCTCATCAAATCCTAGTCTCAAAGATGACTCAAACAGCAGAGATGTAAAAGCTACTAAAGAAAAGAAGCCTGAAGAGCTATAATCGAAGTAAAAATGAAAGCAAAGTGT